ACTAAACTATGTTTTCTACCTTTATCTTGCATCTACCTACCACTTCAGCATTTTATTAAAAAATATATATATATAATAATAATAAGGGAGAAATATGGGATTCACATATAAATCAAGTATAAAAATCAAACAAATAATCATAATTGACCTGATTGTTTATAGTTAATGATGTGTGATCAAAACTGAAAGTTTCTGTGATGACTGCCCTTGCACTGTTCACCATGTAAGAACTTATTCACTATGTAAGAACTTGTTCACCATGTAAAAACTTGTTCGTTATGCTTCAGAAATTTGGAGACTGTTGAGAATTAGGCTTGGGGTTGATTAACGATTGTGCATTGAGTCCCCTATACAGAACCATATGATCAATAAATATGAGAGATGCCCTCTCAAAAAAAAAAAAAATCCAATTTAAGATGGCAGGTGGTATGAGGATGGAAGGTGAGGTCAAGAGTTGTAAGAGCAAGAAGTAAGGGAATTTGTCAGGAAAGAAAGATGCACACAGATCAAGATATCTTGGGAGCCATGAAATTCACAATGCAAGCAATGGGAAGCTCCTAACAGTGGGATGGTTTCATCATTCATGAACCCTACTGTGTACAGGCACTGTGCTAGGTCCTGGAGATTATTAATGGAAGGACTGATTGAGTCCTTACCTCATGAAACTTTTTAATTTTGGGGTGGAGAGAGGGATTATTACTAATGAGTTATGATGCACCATTAAGTGTAATGATGAAGGAAAGTAAAGATGCTATCAGAATATCTCGTAGGAGGACCTACTTGACTTAGCAGATTAAGGAAGTCTTCCCAGAGGTAACCTCTAAGCTTTTTTATCCCTTTTGAATAGGACTTGTTCAGGAAAGCTGGGGCCAGAGGAAGGTTAGGGGTGGTAGAGGTGCATCACAGTGGGTGGGCAGAGGGGAAGTGTTCCACAGCTCAACAAATAAACATGTGCAAAAGTCCAGAGACAAGAATGAACACGACATATCTGAGGAACCAAGAGCAGAAAATCACTATGTCTGGAACATACAATTCAAAAGAAAAATGGCAAGGGATGAGGGCAGATATTTAAACAAGGAGCCAGATTACAGATGGCCCTAAAAAATCAGCTTAAGGAACTTCATGCCAAGAGGAATGGAAAAAGCAAAGGTATTTAAACAAGGGAGTCAAACAGTCACACCTGTACTTACGAAGATACCAGCTGCAGTGTGGAGAATGGATTAGAACCTGCTGCTGTGATCTACCGTCAGCTGTAGGTTAACTACGACACCAGCTCAAAGAAAAGAATCAAAGTAAGAAATATTGAGGAAATATCAGCATGACTTGGTAATTAACTGACTTTGAGGGTAATTAACTGACTTTGAGAGGAAATTGATGGGGGGTCAAAGTTGATTTCCAAAGTACTGGCTTGTTTAGATGAGTGAAAGATGGTAAAAATTAAAGAAAAAAGGAACAAAGGGAAAGATTACAGGAAGGAGTTAATGAATTAAATTTTCGGTATGGAGAATTTAAGGTACTGATGGGATAGCAAATGGAATTATCTAATAGGCAGACGGTATCTAAGAAAAAATCTATGTTATAGATGAGAATTTGGAGTTAGTGTGAAGATGGTAATGGAGCCCAGAAATTAGATAAAATTTCCAGGGAGATGTACAGAATGAGAAGTGATCTAGGGCAGAATCTTAAGAAAAGCCATTACTTAAGAAGCAGAGAAGGCCAAAGGAAGAGATCAAGAAAAGAATAGTCAGTAGTTAACCAATGCTTTATCTCTTCTTTATCTATTTTTTTCTAAGATATTAGAATTAGGATGTGCTAATTCTAAATAGAGTAAGATTAAGGATGTGCTACAGAAAAATGACTTTGGCAATAATTAGAAAAGGTTACATTCTACTTCCCACTATCCCACCCACCCTATCCTCCTCTATTTTTTTAAAATCCATTTTATTTTCTTCATTAAACTAATTATCTGAAATTCATTCATTCATTCACTTATTCACCTGTCTCTTCCCACTAGAATCCAGAATGTTGGCTCTATTTTAGAGCAGGAACCTCATGAGTCTTTTTCCCAATTGTCTCCATAGCACCTCAAAATTATGTGTGCTATGTATTAGCATAATACCAAACTGTAAGTACCAAACTGCAAAGATCAGGGGAAAATACAGAGTACTGTAACTAGGTCAGTGACAATGGAGATGAGGAAGATAGATGAGAAAGACATTTTTGAGGCAAATCACCAAAACTTGGTGACTGAAACAGGGAAGTGGGGAAAGGAATTTTCAGATACTACTACCAATAAAATTTCATTTGGTAGACTATGGTCAGCTCATCAGGTATAGCTTTGCATTCCACAATTAGTCAGCTTATTCCCTTTTAATATCCTCCCACCTCCTGGAACTGTCATGACTCTAAAGACACAGAGTAATTTGAATGTTTCACATAGGAAAAGTTATGATAAATTTTAGCACATATTCTCAAGGGCACCTGAACAGCAAAATACCCAGAATACATGGAGCCTTGGCTCAAGAGGCAGCTGATTAAACCATCTAAGGCTCCTCCAATCAAATGCATCCAAAATAAGTGGCTGGCTAAATAGGTAAGTACATGGAGACTTTGGAATGAAGTGGGAAAGGCTTTAAGTTTCAGCTGTTATTTAGTAACTATGTGATCTCTCTCTTTAATTACCCGTTTCCACATCCTCACAATAGATACTATGTAAATATAAGAAATACTTTGATGAAAAAAAATAGGTGATATATGGTCAAACCACGAGTGGTTTACTTAAATCTCACAAATCCAATGGGGCACCAATGCTAAAGAAGCTGCTTAACATACTCATGTCTGATAAAATTATCTCCCACTATTTTCCTGCATAATTCCTCCACTCTAAAAGAGCCCATTTAACTTCTGCCACCTGAACACACCCTATGTATTCCTTAAACTTAGCTAATGATATTTCTCTTACATCCCCTTCCACTTTAATCCTACTCATTTTTCAAGGATCCACCCAAGTTCTTACTTTTCTCTCAAGTTTCTCTTTTGACCATCTAAGCTAACAATCATCTCTCCTCCTCTTGAATTCCTATAGCATTTTTCTGTTCCTCTCAGTTAACAATAACATACTACAATGGGCTTTGTATTTCTTAGCTCCTTAGTTTAGTAATGGAATGCTCTAAACAAAGTACTACTTTCTATCACTTAGAAACTGCCTAACAAAGTACTCTGCACACAATGTGCACATAGTATGTGATAACTTAAGGACTGGTCAAGGAAGGCACAAGACATCTAAATATTTAATGAAATAGACCGTTATTCTCTCCCCTTCTACTCCCTGACTTAGCTATTAAAAAGGCAAGTCACCAATATGTATTTACCTTGCCTGTAGGCAAACTTTTGCCTTTTCTTCCCATCGCTCAGAAACTGTAAGGAGCTCCTGTAGTTCAGCCATTGCTTTCTCCACAGCATGGTGGGGTGCCAACCCCACCCCAGAATCTATCAATTTCTTCATCACATCCAAAGTGACTTGTTGTGAATCTGATAGGGTTAGTCTTACTTCATCTAACCATCGAGCCTGCTGTAGCTCTTGCTTCAGTCGGGCTAATTCAGGCAGTTCCACATAGAGACTAGAGCCCATGTCTATCAACACCTGGAGTTTGGAAGAATCTGGGGTTTCATCCATCATGGCCCCTTGAGCACGTTCATGAAACTCTTCCACATCATCCAGCAGATTCTGAAAAGGTCAAAAGAATAAAAGTAAAAACAGAAATTTAGAAGATACAAAATGAGTAAAAACTAGACATAGTTCAGGCAAACTATCAAATTCTAGACCATCTAATAATCTCACCATCATAACATCAAATAAGTATCATACTTACAGGTATAAATATGCTTCTCTATACTTACTTACCTAATCCTACTTTTAAGATATGATTAATTCATTCAAAGAATATTTAATGACTGCTGATTCAGATGCAGGTGCTGTCCTAGGCTTACAGCATTAAACAAAACATACAAAGTTCTTATATTCAAGAAACATGGAATTTAATATAAGTTGCCAGATACTGAATACATGAGTTAAATGTTTCAGCTATGAAAACAAAATAGGACAACACAATAAAGAATGACCAGAGGTCACAAAGTAAAATATTGCTTTGCAATAGTCATGGAAGATAGATGAACTAAAACTAATATGAGGAGACAGAAATAGGAACCACAAGATCTCAAGGAAGAGCAGTTAAGGCAGGGCAAACAATTGCAAAAACTTTTGAAGAGGAATGAGCTTGTTATCTTGCTCCGAGGAGCAAAGTGGATGAGGAAAAAATGTAGTTAAAGAATAGGCAGAGGTCAGATTACATAGTGACTTACAGATGATGAGCTTGCATTTCATTCTAATGACTCTGGGGAACCACTGGATGATTTTAACAACAGGGAGGTGGTATGATTTGATTTATATTTTACATGATGACTCTGGCTACTAAATGAAAAATAAACTGTCAGGGACAAGAGCAGAAGAAGGGAGACCAGTGAAGAGGCTGCTGCAGTAATCTAAGGTCAGATTCTAGTGGTTTAGGGCATAGTTTAAGCAACGGAGATGATGACAAATGGTTCACTTTGGGATACACTGTGGAGAGCACTAGTGACTGGATATAAGGTATAAAGGAAATGAACTGAGGATTTTGATTTACTAAAGGGCTTTTAAAATGCCTTTTAGGCTGCCAAAGGGAAATGCAGACTATGCAACTGGATATACAAGTCTGCAAGAAAAGAAGAAAGGCAGTTAGAGGTGGAGATTTGAGAACCAACAGGATATAAGTGATATTGAATGTCACTGAGCAAAAAAGAAGTCGTCAGGACTTAAGGTAGATAAGGGGCTTAGACTCCTAATATACTCCATCACTTAGAAATCAAGTCAAGGAGAAAACAAACAGCAAAGATGACTAAAGAAAAGGAATTGTGAATGAGCTAAGAAAACTGGAGAGTGTGTTGTCACTGATGTTTAGAGAAGGAAGTCTCTGAGGAAGGAAAGCATAGTCAACTATCAAAACACTCTTATGACAAGGAGTAAGACAAAAATGATGCTAGATTCCACAAGCTGATAACCCTGATAAAAAAAAACATTTTAGATACCCTACCCACAGTCAAATCATAAAAACATATCACAAACTATCAAAAAATCACAAACTATGCAGATTAATATATTTGATACATACTTTTGAGATTTTACATATTCATTAAGCCACCAGGGCCCTGGTAATTTCAGAGGTCTGCATTTTTAAAAGCTCATGAACTAGTAACTCATTGATACATTCAGATTCTTTTAACTGATTTCTTGCATTTCAATTACATCTATGTTAAATAGGGGTCTGGCCTAAAATTTATACAGAAAAAAGGAATTATAAACTAACATTAGTTCCAGAATTGTAAAGGGGGAACTGAAGGCTAAGAATGAAACCAAGAGATTCTTCCTGCCAACTAAAATAACCTTAAGTAGAAGCACTTATGTAAGAAAAGAAACAGAACAAAATACTAGTCTAGGGAGCACAAACCTACATTTCATGGTGCTTTCATGAGACTCGCATGACTACCGGGTTGGAAAGTTAATACAGGCAGAGTTCCTGGGGAGACTGGGATTCCGGCCGCTTGTGGAAAGCAGGGATCCATATCTGGCTGCTCTGGGACAAAAACATACCTGTGTGACCGGCCCACTGGCTCAGGCAGTGGAGACAGGCACAGGAGCCAGGAGGCGGGGAACAGTTCTTTCCTACCCCCAGTACCACTCCCCTGCGACCCCTGACATTGCTTCAGGGGCTGAGCAGCTCCAGAATAGAGCTTCTGGACACTAGAGGGGGCCATATACAAACATGAAACGCCAAAGGAACCTTGTCCAGAGTAAAATTGTTAATACAACACCCGAGAAAGATTTAAATGATATGGACCTCGTGACTCTTCCTGAAAATACTAGTCTATACCACTATTCTGTTTACCCAAAATAGTAGCCCATACTATAAAAGATATTACCCATGAAATGAATGTAATACTCCACCTTTACTTGTCGAGCTTGGCTGATGACACATGGAAGACTAAAAAGTTGTTGAACAAAGGCCTTCAATTCTTCTACTGTCAGTTTGGTCCGAGTCCTCCCACTATCTGGGCTCTGCCTAATGTGAAATAATAATATTGAGATGTAAGTAAGAACAATTCACAGTCTTTCTGTTATCAAAGGGGCTTCTAGTCTCTAGAATTCTAACCCAAGCAATCCCAGAATCCTAGTGTTCGAGAGATTCCACTCCAATGGTGGTCACTTCCAAATTAGGTTTTTAGCTCTTTAGTTAATGACTCAAAGATTTAACTCTCCAAGTTACACAGTTCCTCCAATCTTAGAACTATTAAACATTTCAAACATTCAATAAATTCCTCACAGTAAAATACTAAGTTCATTGATAAAACTCAATCTCCTACCTCAAGAAGTTTAACAATGTGGAATAATAAGGGCCTTTAATTTGGATCAGGAGACAATAAACCCTTTGAAACCGATTCAAAATTTTTTGTGTATGGGCACTTTTCTGAGAAGAGGGTCCCCAAGCTTTGCCAAGTTCTCCTAGAGGGTCAATGACCCAATGACAGGTGAAGATTTCCTGATCAATGTTTCTAAGAAAGGTTATCTGATAAAATGGTAGATAAAAGTATACAAAGTAATTTAAAACCCAGTGTGAACTGCTATAGAAAAAGCCATCCAGATACAAGGAACGTGTTGGAATGAATATGAAACAATACCACATCGAACTTAACACAGGAAATCATATCACATCAAGGACATATACTTCTACACTCCTTCACAACACCCTCCCCTGCACCCATCAAGGTCACTCTTTGCTGCCACCTGCCTTCAGCCTGTAGTATCATTTATTTATTTACAAATACTTACTGTATACCTACTACATGCCAGGCATTGTTCTAAGCACAAGAAATAAACCAATGAAAAAAAAGGAAAAAATCCCTGACATTCTACACCTTTAATTTGGATCAGGAGACAATAAACCCTTTGAAACCGATTCAAAATTTTTTGTGTATGGGCACTTTTCTGAGAAGAGCATACATTCCAGTAGGGTTAGAAAGAAAGGAGGAGACAGACAATAATATAAGTAAATTAGTGTATCAGGAGATGACAGGGATGGGAGATAAAGCAGGTAAGAAGAATAAAAAGAATGCAATTTTATAAAGGGATATTAGAGGAGGCCTCTCTGAGAACATGGCATCTGAAAAAAGACTTGAAAGAAGTGGGGAACAAAGCACCAGAATACCAGAGGAGACAGAACTCCAAGCAAGTATGAAGGCTTAAGCAGGAATGCGCCTAACTGTGTATGAAGAACTGTAAGGGGATGACAGTTCAGAATAGAACGAGAAAGGGATAGTAGTAGTAGGAGGTAAGATTAAGGCATTACTGGCTTTTACTCTGAAAAAAAGAGAAAACCACTAGAGAATTCAACTCTTCTTGGTCTTACCTGTGTTTCTGCTTTTTGCTCAGGAGCAGCTGAGCCACAGATGCACAGGTCTCAGCTTCTTTTACAGCATCCCTGAGTTTTCTAAAGAGATCATTCTCTGGGTATTTCCTATCCTCAGCATCTTCCAGCATTACTCGTAATTCAATCAGATCTGTAAAAATAAATAAAAGCCATATACTATGACCACAGACATAAAAAGCCACTGAAAAATATTCTGCAGCTATGAAAATCTCACTAGTGCAACAAAAGCTTATTACCAGGTGATTATTCCTAATCCTTACAGACAACTTCTCTCAGATAAGGCAATTTCTTTGTCAATTATTACTCCATTGGCAACAATGGCTTCTCAAAGTATCTAGCTACTGCTAGTTAGCTATCTGTCCCACTTTGCATCAACTTTTTCACTGAAAAGATTCTCAAATAGAAAATGAAGTCTATAGTCAACCAACCCGTTAGTTTCAAATCTCATGAAGCCTAGGATTTTTCCTTAATGGAGGGAAAAAAACACATAAAAAAAAAAACCAAGGCCTCTTTCAAAATGACAATTACAGCACATGCATACAAGAGGAGGAGACTTAACCTTTCTTGTGATTGAAGTTGGCAGCTAATGCCTCTGTAACACGACTGACCCAAGTATCATAGGACTGTGCCCTGACTTTCACACCATATAGCAGAGAAGGGAGGTCCTCTAATGGGTAGCGGTATCTAAAACAACAAAAACACAGAAATAAAAATTTCAAAAACAACAACTTGAAAATAAATTAAAATTTAAGTACAATCAGCTTAAGAAAAATACAATGGCCAGGTAAATGTGGTCTTGGTAAACATAGAGAGAAAAATCAAATAAGCCCATAGTGTTTTAATTGAACGAGAGACAAGGAACATGTTAAATAAACTGATAAAGACTAATTTTTGTTGCTAAGTTTGGGGGCCAACTTAAAAGAACTAGTCCTCAAGAAGGGAGGCAGACACACAAGAAGTTACCAGCCCAGCCACAGAGAAGGGAATTATCCAGAACAGTTGGTTTTAAAAGAATATAATGGAAGTTTTACAAAAAACTTTTGGATACCTAAGACATTTCTTCTGCATAGGGCAGGGGCAGAGATCATTTGGATGGTAAAGACACACAAGCCGCTCAGGATTACAGGAGCATGTCAGAGCAGAGAGAAAACATGTGGTTCTGCATGCTGAACACTGTCGCTCATCATCAGGAACAAGTTCAAACACTTCTTCTTCTGACATCATGACACCCTGAAATACAATTTATATCATCAGATCAAGTCTTTCTAGTCTTTCAAGTATCAAAGAACTCAAGTCAATAAATTGTTTTATGGGCAAATCTGACTAAAGATGAGAACACGGAAAGTTACAATGGCACAGCATCAAAATACTTTCTAAAAATAATCATTACCTACTTTTAAAAAATGCACAAGATTAATAAGCACTGGTGTGTAAGAATGCATATTTGACTGATAGAACTATTTTTAAAACACAAGGAAGTTATCACTACAAAAGTCAAACAGTCATTTTTTTTTTGAGGGGAGGGAGGGAAACTGTATTGAGGAGGTACTTTTGGGGTGGCTAACAGGAGTTCCAGTTCATGAGCAGAATCACAATGACAATAAAGTTTACCATAAGTAATTCATGAAGGTATACTTTTGTTTTTGTGGTTTTTTCCTTTTCCTCAAAACAAGAAAAACATTAATTAAAAAAAGAGATACTGTCCATAAAGATAATACACCCTTGAACCAGATATATTAGTAACTTGTGATCTGAAAATAACACTGATAGGTACAGACTTATGCGAAGACAAAGTACAAAATTAAACTACGTCAATACTACTTCAGCAAGGCATCAAAGACAAAGTTCAGTTCAGTACACCAGTTTAAGAAAATAAAGAGTACTGAAGTCCACTCTACAAAGACTTCTACTTAATTTGCAAGGGCTCCCTTTACAATTTCTCCTTACTTGAGCAAGGTACTTATAAACCTAATTACACTAAGAGCAAACTTTTTTCCCACTTAAAGAAGGCAGGAACCTGATAATTTATTCACTGGCAGACACCAATCCAATTCTTTCAAAACATACTTTGTTTTTGATATTGGCTTAATTTAGATGTCTCTTGACTATATACTCTTATATCTTTCCATTTTTTCATATTAGCATTTAATATTTTCTTTAAAAATTATTTTTATGTAAAGAAGGTTCCAAATGTACTGCAGGTATTTCTTGGTTTACAAGAATTTACACAGCTTCAGAACAGCTGGCAGACAGAGGATGCTAATACATCAACTAACAAAGTCCTGGCTGCTTCAAGAAATTTTACACCATTTCCCAAATTGTACTCCAAGGCCCATTAGTCCTACAAGATATTCTGCAAAAAAAACCAGAGAAATAAATTCTTTTTGGGGAAATGCTATTATATCCCTCCCAATTTAGAGATTAACAATGAATACCAGCATATTCCTAAAGGATCAGAACTTTACAGTAAAGAATCCAAAATTCCTTTTTTCCTTAACCCACTATCATTTCCCAAACTTTTCTATCACAAAACAATTTTTCCTTGTAATACTTTCTAACATATAGTTTACATTCCTCAAAAAACACTTTGAAAAAGGAAAATCATAAATTATCAAGAGGGAACAGAGAAGAAAAACATCAGAAATGCAAATTAAAAAGCTGTTTGAAATAATCCAAGTGGGAAAATTAAGGAATGGAACAGAACACTAGCAGTCAAGAAAAAAGTGGGGTGGGAGGGCAGTGATGAGACATCAACAAAATAAACAAAAATTTAAAACTAGTTATTGGACATGGATGAGTGAGTCAAGGATCATATTAATGATCCTGGACCTTACTGTAACAGGCAATTAGGAAAGGAAAGGGGTTTGTGAATGGGTAGAGAGAGAGGAGATTATGTTCTGTATTAGATACTGAAACTGAGATGACAGAAATCTAAACAGAAAGGTAAATACATGGAGATGCAGATTACAATGGGCAACTGGACATACCACTTCTTTCAAAGTGACAATAATTCCTGTATTTACAAATAAGAGCAGGAAACACCAAGAGGTGAGAAATGTAACCACAAGGTAACAGCTTACAGAGAATTAAAATCCTAAGCACGGCTAGGATTTCCTTGAAAAATAGCACAAAAGGAAAACAACCAAAGGTCAAAGGCTGAACCCTGCAAACACTAGCAGTTGAGATAGAAGAGGAAAATGAGAGAAAATGAGGACACTGACCACAGAAAAACCACTCAAGAAGTTTTTTAGGAAAAGATAAAAACTTTTCACAAGATAAGACAAATGCATAATGCAAAGAAAGGGCAGAGGGAATTATCTAGAAACAGAGGGATTATCTAGAAACCTAAGTTCCTAGATAAATTTGATCAAAGTATAGATTATCATGAAATGTGATATTCAAATCACTGTAGAACACAAAAAATTAATGCCCCAAAAATGATGCAGGTTAAACCTGAAATGAGACTATACCACAAAAACTTACATCATGAGTACCTAATGTATTTAAATTTTTAGCAATATACTTAAATTTCAAACTTCAGAAGACAAACTCCAGGCAATGGGAAAAAGGAATTCCATTTTAAATAAACATATTTTAAATGAATAATCTAAGTTTCCACTTTAGGAAACTACAAAAAGAGCAAATTAAATCCAAAGTAAGCAGATGAAATAATAAGAATGAGAGAGGAAAATAATGAAACTAAAAACAGGAAATCAACAGAGAAAAATCAATGAACCAAAAGCTACTTTTTTTGAAAAGTTCAACCAAACTGAAATTAGCCAGGCTAAGAAAAAAATTAAGTGGACACAAATGTCAATGATCAGAAATGAAAGAGGGAGACATCACTACAGATCCCATGGACATTGCAAGGATAATAAGAGAATACTTTAAACAACTCTATACTCACAAATTTCCTATGTAAATGAAATCAACCATTCCTTAAAAACACAAGCTATCAAAACTCACACAATTGAAGACAGTCTGAATTGAATAGGTCTGTATCAATGAAATTTAATCATTAACTAAAAAACTTCCAAAAACAGAAAGCACCAGACCCCAGTCAGCTCACTGGCAAATTTCCAACAAACACTTATGGAAGAAATTATACCAATTCTCCACAATCTCTTGGGGATAGAAGCAAAGGGAATACTTCTTAACTCATTCTACAAACCAGCATTACCCTAATACCAAAACCAGACAAAGAAATTATAAGGAAAAAAAACTGTAGGGCAGTATCTCTCAAGAACATAGATGCAAAAAGGTATAAATAGGTATAAAAAGAATTATACACTATGACTAAATGGGATTCATCCCAGGTATGTAGTTTCAACATTCAAAAATCAATTAATGTAATCCCACCATATCAATAATGTAATCTTTAACATCAAAAATTACACAATCATACCAACAGATACAGAAAAGGCTTCTGACAATATCCAAAACCCATTCCTGATAAAAAAAACTTTCAATAAACTAGCAAGAAGGGGAACTTTTTCAACTTGATAAAGAATGTTCACAAAAAACGTATAGTTGACATCACTGTTAACGCTAAGAAACTTTCCCACTACAATCAGGTACAAGGCCAAGAATGTCCTCTCCCACCACTCCATTTCAATATCGTACCGGAAGTCCTAGCTAAAGCATAAGACAAAAGGAAATAAAAAAGGTATACAGATTGAGAAGGAAGAAACAGAAATCTCTGTTCACAGATGACAATATCATCTGTGTAGAAAATCTTAAAGAATCAACAAACACACTCCTAGAACAAGCAATTATGGCAAAGTTATAGGATACAAGGTTAATATATGAAATCAATCTCTTTCCTACATACCAGTAATGAATAAGTCGAATTTTAAATTTACAAACTCATTACCATTAACATTAGCACACCCAAAAATGAAATACTCAGGTATCTAACAAGACATGTACAAGGAGGGAAACTACAAAACTGATGAAGAAAATCAAAGAAGAACTTAGTAAATGGAGACATACTCTATGCTCATGGATAAGAAGACTCAATTTTGTCAAGATATCAGTTTTTCCCAATTTAAAATCTACAGATTCAATACAATCCAAATCAAAATCCAGTAAATTATTTTATGGATGTCAACAAACTGATTCTAAAGTTTACGTGGAAAGGCAGAAGACTCCTATAGCCAACTCAGTACTGACAGAATAACAATGTTGGAGTACTGATACCCGACTTAAAGACTTACTCTAAAGCTACAGCAGTTAAAGAGTGTGGTACTGACAAATCAATCAATGGGCCCAGAAGCAGACCCACACAAATACAGTCAACTGATTTTTCACAAAGGAGCAAAAGCAATACAATGGACAAAGAGTATTTTCAACAAACGGTAGATACGGTTAACAATTGGACATCCACATGCAAAAACATAAATCAACATGGACCTTACCCCTTCACAAAACCAACTCAAAATGAATCGTAGACCTAAATGTAAAATGCAAAGCTACAAAAATCATAGAAGATTACAGAGGAGGAAACCTAGATTACTTTAGGTATGGCAGCAAATTTTTAGCTACCACACCAAAGGCACAATCCATGAAAGAAAACAGTTGATAAATTAAACTTCATTACAATTAGAAACTGCTCTGCAAAAACTGTATTAAGAGAATGGGAAGACAAGCCATACACTAGAAGAATATATCTACAAAAGACACATCTGGTCCAGGACTGTTACTCAAAACATACAGAGAACTCTTTAAGACTCAGCCATAAGAGAAGAGTCGGTTACTAATTGGACCAAAGACCTTAACAGACACCTCACCAAAGATTTAACGATGGCAAATAAGCATATGAAAAGATGCTCCACATCATACTTCACCAGGGAAATGCAAATTAAAACATCAATGAGATAGTACTACACAATTAGAATGGCCAAGATCTGGAACACTGACAACACCAAATGCTGGTGAGGACATAGAGCAAAAGAAATTCTCACTCAATGCTAATGGCAGTACATAATGGTACAGCCACTCTGGAAGGCAGTGGTGACTGCTTACAAAATTAAACATACTCTTACCATACAATCCTGCAATCATGCTCCTTGGGTATTACCCAAAGGAAGTGAAGAATTATGTCCACACAAAAACTTAAACACAGATATTTACAGCAGCTTTATTCATAATTACCACAACTTGGAAGCAACCAAGATGTACTTAGTAGGTGACGTGTCACATGAGCAAACTGGTACATCCAATGGAATATTATTCAGTGACAAAAAGAAATGAGGCATCAAGCCATGAAAAGACATAGAGGAATCTTAAATGCATTATCAGTAAGTGAAAGAAGACAATCTGAAAAGGTTACATACTTTATGATTTCAACTACATGACATTCTGGAAAGCACAAACTATAGAGATAGTAAAAAGATCAGTGTTTGCCAAGAGTATGGCAGGTGGGGGTGAGGAAGGGATGAAGAGATGGAACACAGAAGAATTTCAGAGAAAACTAATATTTAAATACTCCATGATTCTGTAATGATAGGCACATGTCAATTATGTATTTGTCCAAACCCACAGAATGAGCAACACCAAAAGTGAACCATATTATAAACTGTAGACTTAGGTAATTGAGTTGTGTCAATGTAGGCAGATCAAGTGTAACAGATGTATGACTACTCCGATAGGGAGGGTGGAAAATGTAGGAGGCTATGCATGTAGGGGGGGCAGAGATAATGGTAAATCTCCGTATCTTCCCCTCATTTTGCTGTAAACCTTAGACTACTCTAAAAAGTGTCTTATTAAAAAACATATATAAAAGATTACTAAATAGACAAGCAAATATATAACCAAAAGAAGAGTTTTAAGAATATAGTTATAAATTGAGAATATTAACAATCATGTCATACACCATATACTTCAAAAAGTCAAAAAAAATTTATGATATCTTACTCTTTCTTGTTTTTATTGCAAGTAATTCAAACAACTAGAAAAAGAAATCTGATCATTTTGGAAAATTTTTTACTTCTAAGCTAACTTAAATTCTTAAAAATAACCAGCTTTAAATATTTGGTAATAATATTCATGTAACTTCTAAAACGTACAGCTTTATTTTTTGGTTTAGATTTTTTTCCCCCAATTATACCATTAAGAAGAGTAGTTAAATTAGATCAGTTTTACTTTTTATATCTAAATACCAGGCAACATATTTTTCTTTATTTCAAATTTGTATTCATTCTCTTAAGACTCTTCAAATCTAACCATGTATATAAAGCCATTACTTGAAATAAATTCTTCAGAATATACAGACTTCTTAATTTTATGGTTACACAAACTTTCCTGACTGAAAGTGTTATTTTCTAGAAAATTCTGTTTTTAGTCAGAGGAAAATAGGCTTCAATTACATTCTATCATTCGCGATAAGTCAAAAATAAAGTGTCTCAACTTACCAATTGTTCTTGGTTACCAAATTACTTGGTTATTCTTAGGTTCCTGGTTATTAAGTTAGCTTAATTAAAATTAAGATAAAGCAGGAGATCTCAAATTAGCATTTTCCTAAGTGGGCTTGAAATTATAAATGACATGTGTAAGAAAATAAACTTTGATCTACACCTCTTTCCATATGCAGAAATTAACTTGAAATGTATCATATACCTAAGTATGAGAACTAAAACTATAAAACCTCTGGAAAACATACAGAAAATCTTTGTGACCTTGGGTTAAGCACAGATTTCTTGATTTAACCAAAAGCAAGATGAATCTGAATTTCATAAAAATTAAGAACTGCTCTTCAGAAAGATACTACTAAGAAAAGAGAAAGACAAGATAGAGACTGGAAAAAAAAATACTTTCAATGAAATATGATAAAGAATTTGTATCCAGAATATATAAAGAACTCTCAAAATTTAGTAAGAAAACCCAATTCTTAAAAATTGGGCAAAAGATATGAACAGAATCTTCCTCCAAAGATACAGACAGAAAAAAAGGACATTAGATAGTGCTCAACATCATTGGTCATTAAAATTAAAACCTCAATGAAATACTATTACAGACCTATTAGAATATCTAAAATTAGAAAGATTAACCATACCAAATGTCAGTAAGAATATAAGACAAGTGGAACTCTCATATACTGCTGGTGGAACTGTAAAATGGTACAACTACTCTACAATAGTTTGGCAGTTTTTACAGAAAATGAAACATACACATTCCATCTGACCCAGCTATTCCACATCTAGTATTTACCCAAGAGAAATGAAATCATATGTCAATATGAAAACATGTACACAAACATTAGGAGCAGCTAATTCATAACAGGCAAAATCTTAAAATAATTAAAAATTCTATTCACAAGGACAAAAAAACTATGGAATCCATACAATGGAATGCTACTTGGCAATAAAAAGTAATAGAGTATCAATACATGCAATAATTAGGATGAATCTCAAAGTAGTTATGCTAAGCAAAAAAAGTAGACAAAAAAGTATAAAATACATAATTCAACTTAAACATTTTAAAAAGGCAGGCTAAAGAAAGAATATTAGCGTTTTTCTAGAAGGAGTTGTATCCGGGTGGGATGGAACAAGAGGATCACAAAGAAACTTTAAAGTGATGTGCTCATTATCTTGATTCTGACAAAGGTTTCATGGGTGTATACATAGTCAAACTTATCAAATATACACCATAAATACATAGTTTATTGTATTGTTAATTATACCTAAACAAAACTGTTTAAAAAACAGGAACAGCATATCTAGGAGGAGAAAGGAGGCTCTACAAGGGTAGGAAGGAGCCTGGTAAAAACCCAGTGAGGCTACCTCTGTGGGGAGGGTTAGGAAGAATGGGCCAAGATGAGGCTGAAAACTAGATTTTTTCAGGTGTTTCCCATTTTGATGTAACAAATATTTAGTTTATTCTAAGCATTCAAAGTTCCTAGCCCTTGGTTATTCACTCCTTCCTAACTCATTAAATTATTTACATAAGGGGAAAAAAAGAGGTTAATTCACTCGGACATATCTGCAATCACCAGAACATAGATTTATTCAATTACACAGCTCAGAGAGAAAAGAAGGGTTTGAACTTTCTTGTTTAAAGAAATAATACTATTATGTAGGAGATTTATAAGTTAATATGTACCAAAGAAATGCTGTCTAGTAAGATTTCACATTTGAAAATCTAGAGATGACATCAAGATCCCTAAAACTTATGAAGTTGGGCAAATCAAAATGGCAAGGCATGAAAATATGAAACCTCCAAATTAGTGATTTTTCTATTCAACTTCCAAAAGGATCAAAGATGAAAATGGATTCTTTCTATAGTTCCATTTTCCATATATTCCATATGCACTATCAAATACAGGTCATGTGCTCAGCAAACTCACCATCTGTACAACAGACTCCCTTAATCTTGTCTCTTCTTCAGTCATGAGAGTCAGTTCCTTGCACACCATGGCAGCCAGCCCCACATCTAAGCATTCTGGATCTGCTGCCATCTTGAAAATGAGTTCCTCATGTGAAAACACACAGTGGCGCCTAAGCCGTCGGTAATGATTGACACACTGACGTCCAATGGGCAACTGAAAACAAGAGTAGATTCTCAAATTAATTTACTTGCTTATAACACATTCTAGAACACTACTTACCCTCCAGATCCTCTCTTTTATTATAAGGAAGACACAACAACAAACACCATTTGAACACAGTAAGAGGTTAACTGTAAATATTAAACCCTTCATGGCACAGCAGGAAATTTTAAAGGCCTTCCCACAGAAAATTCCCACAATTTGAGACACCAAGGTTCTGGCCTAAGCTGTTGATTTTCTACTCATTATATACATCGAGACGCACAAGTTCCTTGATATATAAATGAAGCAGCAAACTTTTTTTAGACTAATATGAGGCTGCCCACATAAAGGAAAAAGGAAACAAAAACTTCAGACTACAAAGAGTCATATGGACATATTTAGCATTGAAGTCTCCACAGAACAAAAGAACAGATGTTATTAGAAGTATAAGAAGAAAGAAAGGAAGGAAATATGGAGGGATTACTACTTAAGCAATTCACATTGTCTGGTATTATAATTTTTTTGAAAGGACCCAAACAAAAGATGATTTAGATTTTAGCATCTACAAGTTCTTTTAAAAACAATCAGTCTAGAGGGGATTCTCAAGATGGCAGCATGAGCAGGGTGGTGGAAATTCCTCCCAAAACCATATATACTTTGAAAATACAGTGAATACAACTATTCCTAAAAGAGCAGCCAGGAGATACAGTACACCAGCCAGGCTACATCTACATCTGCGAGAACTCAAGATCTCATGAAAAGGGTAAGCTACAAAGCCGTGACCCGGCGGGACCCAAGCACTCCCCCAACCCCAGCTCACTGACAGGAGGAAAAGAATCAGAGTGGGGAGGGAGTGGAAGCACAGGACTGCTAAATAACCAGCCCTAGTAACCTGCACCAGGAGCACAGACACACATTGCATGGTGTACTGAATATTAGAGGAATGGAAAAGCAAAATCCAAGACTAAGACTGCGAAAAGGTTCCCACAGCCAGCTGCCATGGGACAAATGAAAAGCAGGCGCTTTAAAAGCTTTAAAGAGACAAGGGATTAACAGGTGGACAAAATTGTCCTGGGGCACTCAGCCCAGCAGGCTGGGAACTTTAAGGAACTTGAGGCGCCCTAACCCACTGGGTGTCAACACAGCACCAGAGCCCCTCATGGGAATAGGCAGCATGCTGTTTATTCCCCCGTGCCAGGATATGAAGCGAACCAGCTGACCCACCATTGCTGGGGAGCACACAGGAAGTGGCCCCGCCAACAGCAATCACAGAGGCTTCCCCCAGTGCACAGCTAACCAGGCCACACCAAAAGGCTGCCCCCTGTCCGCAGTCGACCAACACAGACAGCGGAGATCAGTGCAGAGTCCAGAAGGCAGAAAGGGGCTTTATTTGCACGGAGAACATGTGCTGCTTGCCTTTAACTCCTGCCACTGCCCCTGGGCCATTCCTAGGGCCATGCTGCCCACGGCAGCTTAGGGATTAACCTAGAGGCTGCCCACTGAGTGCGGCCAACCAGCACAGGCAGAGAAAGATGGCAAGGAGTCCGGAAAGCACATAGGAGCTCTGATCTCAAGGAAAACACACGCTGATCACCTGCAACCACTGCCAGTGCTGTAGGCCATCCCGAGGGATGCCCCACCAACAGTATCTCAGGGAATCAACCCAGACACTGGGTATGCGCGTAGGCTCGCCGGCACAGGCAGAGGAACCTGGCGAGGAGTCCAGAAAGAATGTAGGAGCTCTGTTCTTGCGACGAACACACACTGACTATCTGCAACCACCGCCAGGGCCCTTAGCCATCCCGAGGGCCAGCACATCCACGGCAACACAGGGAATCAACCCAGAGGCTGCTCCCTGTGTGCGGTTGCCCGGCACAAGCAGCGGAGATGGGCGTGGAGTCCCCAAAACACGAAGGGGCGCCGTTCTTGTGGGAGAACACACGCTGCTTGCACGCAACCCCCACTAGTGCCCTAGGCCATCCTGTGGGCCGCCCCACCCACAGCAGCTCAGGGGATTAACCCAGAAACTGCTCCCTGTGCGCAGGTGACTGGCACAGGCAGCGGAGAAGGGCAAGGCAACCAGCAAGCAGAAAGGGACTTTGTTCTCCCAGCAGACACATGCACCACTCGCCGGTGATCACTTCCATTGCCACGAAGAGGCAGAAAAACCTTGTTCAGTCCAAAATCCCTCAAACATCAGAAAGAGGGCTTGGTGAGACCGAAATCACTAATCTTTCTGAAAAAGAATTCAAAATAAAAGTCATAATCATGCTGATGGAGCTATAGAGAAACATGCAAGAGCTAAGGGATAAATTCCGGAGGGAGATAACAAAAATAAGAACAGACTGTATGAGGTGCAAGAGACTGTTAATGGAATAGAAATCAGAGAACAGGAATACAGAGAAGCTGAGGCAGAGAGAGATAAAAAGATCTCTAGGAATAAAAGAATATTAAGAGAAATGTGTGACCAAACCAAACAGAACAATATTTGCATTACAGGGGTACCAGAAGAAGAGAGAAAAAAGGGATAGAAAGAGTCTTTGAAGAAAGAATTGCTGAAAATGTCCCCAAGTTGGGGACCCAAGGAGGACAACACCAAGACACATAATAATTAAAATGACAAAGATCAAAATCAAAGACAGAGTATTAAAAGCACCCATTGAGAAAAAAGATAACCTACAAAGGAAAACTCATTAGGCTATCATCAGACTTCTCAACAGAAACCTTACAGTCCAGAAGAGAATGGCATGATACATTTAATGCAATGAAACAGAAGGGCCTTGAACCAAGAATACTGTATCCAGCACGATTATCATTTAAATTTGAAGGAGGGATTAAACAATTACCAGATAAGCAAAAGCTGAGGGAATGTTCCTTACACAAAACATTTCTACAGTGTATTTTAAATAGACTGCTCTAGATGGAAGTGCTCCTAAGGCTAAACACACGTCAACAGAGAAAATAAAACCACAGCAAAGAAAGTAGACAAACCAAATACTAACTAAATGCAAAACGAAGTCTGCTATCCACAAAATCAGTTAAGGGAAACACAAAAGAGTACAGAATAAACACCTAACATATAAAGAATGGAGGAAGAAGAAAAAGAAGGGAGAGAAATAATCATCAGACTGTGTTTATAATAGCTTAATAAGCGAGTTAAGTTAGACAGTTAGATAGTGAAGAAGCTACCACTGAACGTTAGGCAACCACGAATCCAAAGCCCTCAATGGCAATAGTACATGTCTTATCGATAATCACCCAAAATGTAAATGGACAAAATGCACCAATCAAAAGACAGAGAGTAATAGAATGGATAAAAAAGCAAGACCCATCTATATGCTGCCTACAAGAGACTCACTGCAAAACCAAAGACATACACAGATGAAAAGTGAAGGGATGGAAAAAGATATTTCATGCAAACAATAGGGAGAAAAAAGCAGGAGTTGCAGTACTTCTATCAGACAAAATAGACTTCAAAACAAAGAAAGTAACGAGAGATAAAGAAGGATATTACATAATGATAAAGGGGGCAGTCCAACAAGAGGACATAACCATTAAAAATATTTACATACCCAACACAGGAGCACCAACATGATGTGAAACAAATACTAACAGAATTAAAGTAGGAAATAGAATGTAATACATTTATTTTAGGAGAATTCAACACACCACTCACTCCAAAAGACAGATCCACCAGACAAAATAAGTAAGGACACAGAGGCACTGAACAACACACTAGAAGAGATGGACCTAACAGACATCTATAGAACTCTACACCCAAAAAGCAGCAGGATACACATTCTTCTCAAGTACACATGGAACATTTTCCAAAATAGACTACATACTAGGCCACAAAAAGAGCCTCAGTAAATTCAAAAAGATTGAAATTGTACCAACCAACTTCTCAGATCACAAAGATATAAAACTAGAAATAAATTGTAGAAAGAAAACAAAAATGCTTACAAACACATGGAGGCTTAACAACATGCTCTTAAATAATCAATGGATCAATGACCAAATTAAAACAGAGATCAGGCAATATATGGAAACAAATAACAACAGCACAAAGCTCCAACTTATGTGGAACACAGCGAAGGCAGTTCTAGAGGAAAGTATATAGCAATCCAGGCATATTTAAAGAAGGAAGAACAATCCCAAATGAATAGTCTAAATTCACAATTATTGAAACTGGAAAAAGAGCAAATGAGGCACAAAGTTAGCAGAAGGAGGGACATAACAAAGATCAGAGAAGAAATAAAACTGAGGGGAATAAAACAACAGAAAAAAATCAATGGAACCAAGAGCTGATTCTTTGAGAAAATAAACAAAATAGATAAACCCCTAACAAGATTAATTAAAAGAAAAAGAGAATCCCACATATAAACAGAATCATAAATGGGAACGGAAAAATCACTACAGACACCACAGAAATACAAAGAATTATTAGAGAATACTATGAAAATCTATATGTTAACAAACTGGATAACACAGAAGAAATGGACAACTTTCTAGAAAAATACAACCTTCCAAGACTGACCCATGAAGAAACAGAAAATCTAAACAGACCAATTACCAGCAAAAATATTGAAATGGTAATCAAAAAACTACCCAAGAACAAATGTCCCGGACCAGATAGAATCACCACTGAATTTTATCAGACATATAAATAAGACATAATACCCATGCTCCTTAAAGTTTTCAAAAAATAGAAGAGGAGGGAATACTTCCAAATTCATTCTATGAAGCCAGCATCACTCTACTACCAAAACCAGGCAAAGACACCACAAAAAAAGAAAATTACAAACCAATATCCTTGATGAACATAGATGCAAATATACTCAACAAAATATTAGCAAACCAAATTAAAAAATACATCAAGAGGGTTAAGGGAAAGATGGTGGCATGAGAGGAGAGAGACAGAGGCTTCCTCCTAAAACTGGATACAATTAGAAAATTTAATTGGCGCAACTAACCCTGAGAGAGCAACAGGAAAGAGGACGGCATCAGATTGC